TATTAAGGTATATTTATTATTATTATTATTTTTGCAAATTCAAACTGAAAGCGAACTGAACTAATTGAATTATTTTGTTGGTTAATCAAATTAACTTAAATAATTAAACTAATTTATTATTTATATTATAAAAAATAATTTAATTAAGATTTATATTACAACAGTATAAAATAATGTTAATAGGTCTACGTAACATTTTATATTATATTATTAAACTTTTTTGGTTGAATACTTGAATATACGTATAATGAACATATGCATAAAAATACATATAAAAAATAATATTTTTATATGTTTTTATAAATCATTGATTCAAAGTGCCAGGCTAGAGTAGGGCAGCATAGAGCATAGAAAGAGGCAAGTTATTCAAAATTCTTAAATTTGCAATATAGTCCTCTGAGCTTGTCTAATTTTCAAGTGAATGCCCAAAAATTTTCAGAAAATTAATTTTATTTCTGATTATCATAACTCTCCATTCAACTTTTATTGCTCAGCTGTTGGGACTCGACCACTTCCAGCAGTTCCTGATAGAGGGTGTCGACGGTGGCGGCCGGTGGTGGTTGTCTATGAGAGGTGGCAGATCTCGGCGGGTGGCTGCGCCTAGAGGTAGTACTGTGTCTCGAAGTTGATGGTCATCCTGTTTGCCAGTGTCTGGTGGTGCGCCGGTCACCGGTTGCTATCGGACGGTCGACTTCACCGGAGATGAGCCGCGACGCTCGGTAGAAGGGCAGTGACGGGGCTGGGTTTGTGCGGGAGAGAGAGAGCTTAGGGTGGAATGGTGGTGGCGGGGATACTCCGTCGGCTTCGGTGCGGCACTCCGGCGGTGGCTGGATTTTTCCCGACGGCCAGGTCCATCTCGTCGTGATGTGTATCGTGATGGTGTGTGTGAGAGAGAGGAGAGAGAGAGAGAAAGAGATGGAAGAGAGAGGAGAGAGGAGAGAGGAGAGAGAGAGAGAGAGAGAGAGAGGAGAGAGACAAACTATTTTTCCTTTTTCATTCTTATTTTAATTTTTCTTTTATTTTTTTATTTTTTTGAGAGAGACAGATGTTAGGCATGTGTGGAGGTGGGGCCCAGTAAATTGGATAGTTTATGAAATGTCCAAATTAACCTTAATGAAGGTATAATTTTGACTTTTTTATAGTCATTAGATCATACGATCTAATGGCTATGATTTATTCTCACTTCTTTCATGGAGAACCATTCTCATGTGAACCCAACCCATAATATATATATATATATATATATATATATAAATCAACAAATATTTATTTATTAAATATTAATAGGCAATTAAACATTTAGACATTTATTCACAACAATAATAATAATAATCACAATATATATGTAATAATAATAATGATCATTTTATAAAAATAATAACAATTAGGCAAATAAATCTCAAGCATGATAATAATAATAATAATAACAACAACAACAATAATAATAATGCAAACAAATAAATAATCCCAACCTTATTCAAAAATAAACGGGGCATTACAAAATTCATCCAGATTTGTCTTACGAGGAGAAACCGGTAGCTGTATTGGACCGGCAGGTTCGTCAGCTCCGGAAACGCGATGTTCCTCTCATTCGTATATGTAACGCCACGTTCGTTTATGAATAAATGCATCACTATTATTATTATTATTATTATTATTATTATTATTATTATTATTATTATTATTATTATTATTATTGCCATTATTATTAATTGTTATTATTATGTGTTGTTATGTATTTGATTGTCTAATTGCATAAATAAATTTTAATGTTCCTTTTTGTGAATTTATATAAATATTAAAAATGTGGATTATATGTATAATTAATAAATATTGTTTTAATTTATTTTAATTTTGTCGAACCGAGCTTCTGGTTGAACTCTTAGTCGCGCCATGTGTTCCAAACCCGCCGCACCCAAGGCCGAGGCCCGTACCCGCGCCCCAAGACCCGGCCGACCCTCCTCTTCCCATTTGTGTTGATTTTTGGCAAGTTTGCTTAATTATGGAGTCTTCCCCAAAACCCTAAGCTAGACCTAGCCCTATATATATGGGAGATTGGACTCCTCCTTCGTCAAATTCTTCTCCCCCGCAGCCACCCTCCTCTCTCTTCTCTCTTCTCTCTCTCGCACTCTCTTTCTCTTTTTTTTTCCGTTCGCTATCAATTCCCCGATCGCCGCCGTCGCTCATCGGCCGTGGCCATCGCGACGCCGCCCCAATCGCAAGCCCCGCGTCGCCGTTCGCTGCTGTCCCTGTTCGCGTGGTCAGTGCCGTCATCGACCCCTTTCCCCGATCGTGTCGCAAGCCCGGTACCAGCGCTGCCTGTCGCCATCGCCAGTGACCCCGCAGACGACCCTCAGCAGTCACGTAGTAGCCATCGCCCGCTACCGCTGAGCACGCCTGCTGCCCAGCTGCCCCGCAAATCGAGCGCGCGAGCCACACCTGCTGCCGAGCGCGTTTTGCAGCCCCGCCGCGACTTCCGTTCGGCCCTTGTTTCGTTCAAATTCCCCGAGAACGGTACAAGGCTGAAAACCCCCTTATTCTTATATGTGTATGTGATATATATGTTGAGCCTTGTTTGAATTTGTATGTTAGGGTTCGAATTATGATCAATAAATTGCGTGACATGTTCGTTATTTGTAAAAGCATGTGAATTGTTCATGAATTGTGATTAGGGCTGTGTATTATTGAAACATTTGAAGTCTTTGTCCTCATGGTGAAGGCCTTAGATGCTGTTATTGAGTAATTTGTCATTTATGCATTTTTGAATTGGGTATTGTTGCTGAACTTTTGAAAAATCATTATAAATTGTGTGTTCTTCCGATTGCTATGAAAATTGAATTGTATGACCCTCTGTTAGTATTATATGTTCGAAATAATATCTGTAGCCAGGTCAAATGTCAATTTGAAATTCTGGGCAGAAACTTTGAAAAATCATTAAAAATTGGATTCTTGGTGTTTTGCTGTGATTTTTGGTGAGTGTTAGTAATTTGATGTTATATGTGTTGTGTTCAAATTTCGTTGAAAATTTCAAAGGATTACCCGGTGAACTAGAAAATTCAGAATTGCATCGCCTTTTTGTAAAAATTGGTTGCTTAGGTTAAACTGAAGTTTTGGGTCTGATACTTTGTGAATATATGTCTTTCTGGGTCTATTTTAATGTGTAAAAATTTTAAGTAAATTGGTCGAGTAATTTTCAAAATCGGTCGGTCCTATTTGAAACCCTGCCTGTCTGCCGGGCCCTGTGCACTGCTGCCAGCGCCCCAGTGCGCACACCAGCGCGCACGCCATTGTGATGCGGAAGTGGCTAGGCAACTCAAGAACGCCGCAAGTTGCGCTTACCATGATATTTTTCATCATTAATTTTATGTATAGAAATCTGAACTTTTGTTCTTCCACTTTGCTTTAGTTTTTCACCAAAAATTCTATTGCGATTTTATTCGTTCCTAGAGGCGCTGTTGTGGCTCAAAAAACACCTATCGGCAATTCAAGGCACGGGTTAGCGGCTTATCGGCAATCGAAACAAATGATTTTCATCATTGGTGCTTTCATTGAGAGGTGTTAGATCGTGTGTTTTTCTTCTACCCCATTCCCTTTCTTTTTCTTTTCCTATTTTTCGTCCCCCCTCCTATATCAAAAATATATATATATATATATATATATATCATCATCACGAGTCCTCGAAGCAAAGAGCGTAGGGAAGAGAAGAAAGCAATGGCCAATAAAGAGATGAAGGACAAGATCGATAATCTTGACATCCAAATGCGAAGTATGAGCGAAGTTATGGAGGGAAGGCTTGGATCGCTCGACGAAGGCCAAGGCAACACCAACGCCGCCGTGGAACAACTCGAGCAACGAATAGAAGAGGTCTTGCGCGCGTTCCAGCAGCAACCACCACGGTAGCACGACGTCCATCCAAGGCGCGAACACTGCCGACACGCCGAGCACGATAAGCGCACGCCATCCCCACGGCGCGAGGATCGGCGCGCGCACGAGCAGCGTGACGGGGAACGGCGACGTGGAGACTACGAGCATGAGGACGAGTTCGACCAGCGATCGCAGGAATCTAATTACCGAGAGCGGCCGAGGCCCGACAAGCCAAGATTCGTGATGTCCACCTTCACGGGTAGTGATCCGGAGGCTTGGCTCAACCGTATTGCGCAATACTTCGAACTCAACGAAACTGAAGGCCATGACCGAGTAAGGTACGCAGCATTCTATCTTGATGGTGAGGCCAATGTATGATGGCAATGGCTCTCAAGGATCTACCGTAAGCGGCAGCAGATCATCACATGGGCCGACTTTGAGAGGGAGTTGCTCACACGTTTTGGTACATCCGATTACCATAACTACAACGAGGCTCTCACACGTATACGCCAGACAGGCAGCTTGCGCGAGTACATTAAGGAGTTTGAACGCATAGCCTGTCGCGTGCGAGATTGGCCCGAGGATGCACTGGTGGGAGCCTTCATAGGTGGGCTAAAGTTTGATCTAGCCGCAGAAGTCCGACTGGAGCGGCCAACACGATGCACACAGCCATGGAGGTAGCCCGACGCCGCGAAGACCATCTTGTTGCGACACGAAAGGGATGGGCAGACGGTC